AGGGCACTTCCCCTGTGCTGTGGTGTATAACTGGAGTTGGTGGGCGGAGCCGCAGTCAGACCTGATGTCTGCCCCCAGCCCACCGCTGGGGCCACAGTCAGACTGGTGTGTGCCTTCTCTTCCCCTCTCCTAGGTGCGGGATTCACTGTGGGGTGGGGTGGCCTGTCTGGGCTACTTGCACACTGCCAGGCTTGTGATGCTGGGGATCTGGCGTCTTAGCTGGGGTGGGTAGGCAAGGTGCACAGGGGCAGGAGGGGCATGCTTAGCTTGCTTCTCCTTAGGTGATCCACTTCAGGAGGGGCCCTGTGGCTGCAGGAGGGAGTCAGATCCACTGCCGGAGGTTTGGCTCTGCAGAAGCGCAGAGTTGGGTGTTTGCGCGGAGCGAGCAAGTTCCCTGGCAGGAACTGGTTCTCTATGGTATTTTGGCTGAGGGGTGGGCGGGGGAGATGGCGCTGGCGAGCGCCTTTGTTCCCCACCAAACTGAGCTCTGTCGTCCGGGGGCTCAGCAGCTCTCCTTCCCTTTGTCCTCCAGCCTTCCCGCTTTCTGAGCAGAGCTGTTAACTTATGACCTCCCAGCCGCTAAGTCGCGCTTGCTGTCAGAACACAGTCCGTCAGGCCCCTCCTTTTTTTGCAAGCCAGACTCGGGGGCTCTGGCCGGCGAGCAGCCCCTCCACCCCGGCTCCCTCCCGCCAGTCCGTGGAGCACGCACCGCCTCGCCGCCCTTCCTACCCTCTTCCGTGGGCCTCTCGTCTGCGCTTGGCTCTGGCGACTCCGTTCTGCTAATCCTCTGGTGGTTTTCTGGGTTATTTAGGCAGGTGTAGGTGGAATCTAAGTGATCAGCAGGACGCGCGGTGAGCCCAGCATCCTCCTACGCCGCCATCTTCCCTCTCTCTCCTTTGGCTGATTTTTATAGGTATAATTGATTTTAATGCTTTTGTGCTTCCTACTTTTATTACTCTTGCTTGTGGTTTTCTTTCCACTCAAAGAATCCTCTTAAACATTTCTTGTAAGACTGGTAGTGGTGATGAATTCCTTTAACTTTTGTTTATCTTGGAAACTTTGTCTCTTCCTCTATTCTGAATGATAGCCTTTCTGGATAGAGTATTCTTGGTTGTAGTATTTTTTTTTTCTTTTCTTTCAACACTTTGAATATATCATGCCACTCCATTTAATCCTGCAGTTTCTGATGAAAACCCAACTGATAGCCTTATGGGGTTTCCTTTGTATGTAAGTGTTTTCTTTCCTCTTTCTGCTTTTAACATTCTCTCTTTGTCACCACATTTTGCCATTTTAGTAACTGTGTGTCTTTGTGTGGACCTCCTTTGGTTGATTTTTTTGGGGCTCTCTCTGTGTCTCCTGGATCTGGATTTCTGTTTCCTTCCCCATATTCTGGAAATTTTCAGCTGTTATCTCTTAAAATACAGTTTCCATCCCCTTTTCTCACTCTTCTCTTTTGTGATCCCTATAATGATAATGTTATGCTTTGTGGTGTCACTGAGTGTCTCTATTTTCATTTTTTTATTATTGTTATTTTTGCTATGTCATGTTCAATTTGATTGCTTTTCTTTATTCTGTCCTCCAACTCACTGATCTGTTCTGCTTCTTCTAATCTTTTCTTTATTCCTTTTAGTGTATTTTTATTTTCAGTTATTGAATTCTTCATTTCTGATTGGTTCTCTTTTATGTTTTCTATCTTTTAAAAGTTTATTTATTTATTTATTTAGAGAGCACATGAGTAGGGGAGGGGGAGAGAGAGGGAGAAAGAATCCCAAGCAGGCTCCACACTGTCAGTGCAGAGCCCAGTGTGGGGCTCAAACTCACAGACTGTGAGGTCATGACCTGAGCCGAAGTCAAGAGCTGGTTGCTTAACTAACTGAGTCACACTGACACCCCCTATATTTTCTATATATTTTTATTGAGGGTCTCGCTGAGGATTTCCACTCTTTGTTCAAGTCCAGTGAATTATCTTTATGACCATTACTTTAAGTTTTCTATTAGTCATATTACCTATCTTTGATTCATTTAATTCTCTTGCTGTGATTTCATCCTCTTTTTCATTTGGGTCATATTCCTTTGTGTCCTCATTCTGTCTAGCTCTCTGTGTCTGTTTCTATATGTTAGGAAAGTCAGGTAGGTCTCCGTCTCTTGAAAGAAGTGACATTATGAAGAAGAGGTCCTGTCATGCGCTGCAATGCAATGTCCCCTGTTTTCCATAACGTGGCACATCAAAGGTGTATTCTATGTTTGTTGCATATACCCTGCTATTATTGTGTCTGAGCTGTTTTTACCTTCAGTACAGTCATCTGCAGTGGCTCTCTTTGCCTCTTGTAGTCATGGTTTGGTCCCTGTGTTAGTGAGTTTGAAGCTGCCTTAGGCTTGAGTTGAATCAGACCAGGCATTTGCCAGAGCTATGGCAGCACCAAACTGCAGGGCACTCTCCCTATCTTGTCCCCTGAGAAGCTGTCATTGGTGGGCGGGTCCTAGAATCAGAGCAGATGTATATGCCTCTGCTGGGTTTGCAGTCAGAATTGCATGTGTGGGTATCTTCCTCTTTCCCTAGGGCAGGGATCACTTTGGAGTGGTGGTGGCCTCTGTAATGTTTGCTTCACCCTGCCAGACTTATGGCATTACTTTGGATGGTCTCCTGACAAAGGCCTGTTGGAGAGGGCATGTCTATAGGAAAATGTGGGGTGGGGAGCACAGTGTCAGCAAGGTCTATGCTGCTGTACTGCAGGAGGTTACCTTCAGCCACCCTGGGAAAACACTTCCCCAATCTGGGATGGAGGGGATAGTCTGTAGATGAGCACAGGGGTGGGGCAAGATTTGTGGAGAGTATTCATCTGCAGTAGTTCCCACAGTTGTCTGGGTAGGTAGGCTGTAGGGCAGGAGAGGGAAATGCCCCCTGCCAGCTCTTTTTTTCTAGAAGTCCTCAAAGAGCTCTTCCCCAGCACCTGCTCTGACATTAGTAGATAAATCTCCTTCCTGTATACCCCAGGCATTTTTCAAACCACTGCTTCTATGCTGTATTTCAGTGGGGCTGTTTGTTATGCAGTTTATTTAATGGCAGGCACTCAGGTTGCAATTGCCCTCTGGATCTTCCAGAGTGGAGTTGCTGAATTTTAAAGTTCCATGTGTTAAGCCCTACTGATTGTTAAGAACAAACAAAGTTAGGTTCCTTTGGTTTTCAAAGCCAAATATTATGGAGATTCATCTTCCCACTTTGGGTTCCCCATGCCTGTCATGTTTGGTGTAGGGTCTGCTCCCCTTTATTTTCTTTGCCCAAGGTATCCCTCCCTTCCATGGACAGTCCTACATGTCAGTTTGACTCTTAACTATATCTCTGCCCTTTCTACCCTCTTTAATGTGGCATCTTTTCTACATTTATCTATGGAGAGTCTGTTATGTCAGTCTTTGGGTCGTTTTCTGGTTTATTTACTCTAATGTGGATGTTATCTAGGTGTAACCATGGGACGAGGTGAGCCAAGGGTCCTCCTACTCTGCCATCTTCTCTGGAAGCAATATGTTTTAGATTTCACTGTTCTTCACTAAGGAGTTTGTAAACAGTGGGAAATACTATACTACTGGAAAAAATGTTTGCTTTCTTAATTAAGCTAATCTTGTGGGGTTTTTTTATTAATCTTTTTTGCATGTGTTTATTTTGTGTGGATGTGTGTATGACTCTGTGTGTGTGTGTGTGTGTGTGTGTGTGTGTGTGTGTGTAACCCTTTTGGGGAGGATGTAAGATAGTTCATTATTGCTCCAGAAATAAGTATACAGTGAGCTATGTGATTACATGGCTCCATGTTTAGAAAATTAATGCATAAAACTGATATTGGCTCACTGTCATCATCCTGTTGGCCAAATAAAAAAATTAAAAAAAAAACCTAGAAGGGGATTTTTTTTCCTCTAAAAGTATTGGAACACCCATTGGGATGGGAAGAAAACTCTTGAGAGAAAGGAAGAAGATTCAATATTGCTGAATTTTTTTTTGAATTGTTATGACCCGAGGCCATTTTTATAAACAGAAATCTATAATCTTATTTCCTTGTCTTCATATATGGAAAAGCCCTAAACCACATGACATTTCAGATTATTCTTTACCCAGTGGGGATTAGACCAGAAATATAATACCATTGTCCATATAATTTAAAACATTATCTAATATCAATTCAAGATTTTCTACCTTCTTTGTGCTCTTCCTTGCTGGTGTTTCATTGTATGTAACCTATCTAAAATTCTTGAAGAATTTAAGATTTTTTTGTGTGTGAAATATAATAAAGCCTTGATTAATTGGAAGCTAACTATCCAGAACTCTTGATTAACCAGTGTTATTTATTTATTTTTTGCTACACTCTCCTTTTAGAAGGAAGAGGCAAATGACAAGAAAACAAGCTGTTAACAGGTATTTATGTATTTATTTTTTTTAAAATCAACTTTCTGGGAATGTCCTGGAGCCTGTACAAATTCAGCCCAACTTTAATAATTTTGTTTCATGTACTATACTTATTAAGGTAGGAAAGTAGAGCTGTTGAAATGTTTCAGAACAAATGTTGAATCTTTCTTAATCCTTGGTAAAAAGAAAAATGAAATCCAAATAGCTAATTAGATCCTGTCTATTTGAAGGTACTAGTTAATTTGTGTTGCTGTAGTTTCACTATTGACAGTAATCATTTATATCTCTTAACTCAGAATGGATCCTAGGACCATGCAGTGGGGAGATGACTTCCAGCCACAGGAAGTAACTCCTTCCCTGGGAACTAAAGCAGAGTCTAGAGAAAGGCTACAAAATTGATGTGGGTTGAGTGAGGGTCACTGACATGAAAACCATGACAACTTTGTAAAACAGTGAGAAGATAATTCACTCCCCTCATGACTCTGGAATGCTTAGGAAGGTACATACACTTTTGAAGGGCAGCACAGACTATTAAGTGTGGTATAGCAATAATGGAAAAAAAAATAGGCCATCTATTCTTCTGTAATTATTCTAAGCATTAGGCATGGGTATATTTTGTAAGCATGCTAGTAGTTCTAAAATATTCAAAATTATTTTTTTCTAAAAATATATTTTTAAAAAATAGTTTGAAATTTAGGAAGATTTATGCTTGAAACTTCCTGAAATATCTATGACAATTTCAGTTGAATTGCAATCAGATATACCATATTGCTCTAGGCTTTATACCTTTTAGGTTGTAATGGGGAAAATAATGGACAGTAACTCAGAGAAGCAAGGGAAGAGGAAGGAAATCCATCATGCTCAAGTACATTTTTTAAAAAGATTTTTTTTAATCTTTTAAGTAATATGTACACTCAACATGGGGCTCAAACTCACAACCCTGAGATCTAGAGTCTCATTCTATACTGACTGAGTCAGCCAGGCATCCTATAAATTCATTTTGATATTGCCTGGCAATACTGCCCCCTCTTCTCTTCCATGGACCCTTCTCACGTTAAGTCACCCTTTGGGGAATTTTCCCCAATATCTTCAGGGCTGCCCTTGATACATGTTTTATCCATATTTTTGTACAACAAAAATGTCATAGGGTTGTGGGGGAGAAGGGAACCACACCATGTGGTTTATTCTGGATTTTCAACATAGAAAATTGAAAGCACTATGGTGATGTTTGCAATATCTGGGATATTTCCTATACTAAATGTTACTTTTAAATATCATGCACACTAAATAATACCCAAGTGACCTGAAGCAGCGGATGCGCCTCCTTAAGTGCCAAACTTTCCATTGGACACTTTTGCGTTATGGGAGATTAGAACCCACTAGATTTCATTAATGAAGATTTTAACCGAAAAATTTAAATGGATTGAGTTTTGAGTTAAGGTTTGGGATTTTGAGGGGTGCCTGGGTGGCGCAGTCGGTTAAGCGTCTGACTTCAGCCAGGTCGCGATCTCGCAGTCCGTGAGTTCGAGCCCCGTGTCAGGCTCTGGGCTGATGGCCCCGAGCCCAGAGCCCGGAGACTGCTTCCGATTCTGTGTCTCCCTCTCTCTCTGCCCCTCCGCAGTTCATGCTCTGTGTCTCTCTGTCCCAAAAATAAATAAACGTTGAAAAAAAAATTAAAAAAAAAAAGGTTTGGGATTTTGAAAGTAATTTTTTTTATTTTATATGAGTACAATTGAATTCAGACATTGAAATTTACTTTCATTGTATTTTAATTTTACTAGTAAAATGACATGCAAATTAATGCAATGCCCTCTTATTTAGTTAATTATAACAGTAGTTTATCACTATAGATTTATTTTTTTTAATTTTTATTTTTGAGAGAAAGAGCACTCAAGTGAGGGAGGGACAGAGAGAGAGGGGGTCCAAAGCAGACTCTGCACTGATAGCAGCAAGCCCAACATGGGGCTGGAACTCACAAATTGCGAGATCATGACCTGAGCTTAAGTCAGACGCTTAACTGACTGAGCCACCCAGATGCCCCTGTATAGATTTATTTTATTTTATTTTATTATTTTATTTTATGAAATTTATTGTCAGATTGGTTTCCATACAACACCCAGTGCTCATCCCAACAGGTGCCCTCCTTAATACCCATCACCCAACAACCTCTCCCTCCCACCCCCCATAAACCCTCAGTTTGTTCTCAGTTTTTAGCGGTCTCTTATGTTTTGGCTCCCTCCCTCTCTCTCTTTTTTTTTTTCTTTCCCCTCGCCCATGGTCTTCTGTTAAGTTTTTCAGGATCCACCTAAGAGTGAAAACATATGGTATCTGTCTTTCTCTGTATGACTTATTTCACTTAGCATAACACTCTCCAGTTCCATCCACATTGCTACAGAAGGCCACATTTCATTCTTTCTCATTGCCATGTAGTACTCCATTGTGTATATAAACCACAATTTCTTTATCCATTCATTAGTTGATGGACATTTAAGCTCCTTCCATAATTTGGCTATTGTTGAGAGTGCTGCTATAAACATTGGGGTACAAGTGCCCCTATGCATCAGCACTCCTGTATCTCTTGGGTAAATTCCTAGCAGTGCTATTGCTGAGTTATAGGGTGCATCTATTTTTGATTTTTTGAGGAAACTCCACATTGTTTTCCAGAGTGGCTGCACCAGTTTGCATTCCCATCAACAGTGCAAGAAGGTTCCCGTTTCTCCACATACTTGTCAGCACCTACAGTCTCCTGATCTTCATTTTAGCCACTCTGACTGGCGTGAGGATATACTTCAGTTTGGTTTTGATTTGTATTTCCCTGATGAGGAGTGACGTTGAGCATCTTTTCATGTGCCTGTTGGCCATCTGGATGTCTTCTTTAGAGAAGTGTCCATTCATGTTTTCTGCCCATTTCTTCACTGGATTGTTTTTCAGGTGTGGAGTTTGGTGAGTTCTTTATAGATTTTGGATACTAACCCTTTATCTGACATGTCATTTGCAAATATCTTTCCCATTCTGTCGGTTGCCTTTTAGTTTTGTTGACTGTTTCCTTTGCAGTGCAGAAGCTTTTTATCTTCATGAGGTCCCAAGAGTTCATTTTTGTTTTTAATTCCCTTGCCTTTGGAGATGTGTCAAGTAAGAAATTGCTGCGGCTGAGGTCAGAGAGGTTTTTATAGGTTTATTTTATATTGATCAGAGCACACACTACATATGTACATATATAGGTAGTGCATTCTTACATTTCCTGTGATCTGAGAAAAACCATTAAATGTTCTTAAAAGTATATATACTGATTCACTCGCATAAACTACAGAGAAACAGGAGAGTTGCAAACTCTAATGCCTACTGAGGCAAGGCTGGTAAAGTAAATGAAAGACCATAAGCAATAGGGATTGGTGGGGACTATGGTGACCTAGAGAGTATGTATTCTTTCCAAAGGTGGCAGCTATTACTTAGCTCAACTTATTGCTACCATCTGGGAATGTAGGCCCAATGTTGTTAAGCTCTCAGTTTTTATTTTTTATTTTCATTAATTTTTTTAGAGACAGAAAAGAGTGGGAGAGAGTAGAGGGAGAGGAGCATAGGGAGAGAGGGAGAGAAAGAATCTCAAGCAGGGTCCATGCCCAGCGTGGAGCCTGATGTGCGGCTTGATCTCATCAACCGTGAAATCAAGACCTGAGCTGAAATGAAGAGTCGGTTGCTTATCTGACTGAATCACCCAGGTCCCCCAGGTTCTGAGTTTTTAAGAGAAGCTGGGGATGCAGATTTTTACCTGAAATTCCCTAATTCTTCTTAAATGTTGGTAACCAACTCAATAAAAAGCAAAACAAAAACAAAAGAAAAGAAAAAGAAAGAAATACTGTGCAGGTTAAGCAAAATCATCTGTGGTCTGCATCTAGCCCATGGGCTCTCAGTTTGCTTTAAATTGTAAATCCTCTAGATATTGTAATTAAAAAAAATCACAATATATTATAAATACACCCAAAGGCCTTGATGACAGAAAAATCCATGTAAAGTGAATTAAAAATAAATGGAGTGTTGGGGCACCTGTGTGGCTCAGTAGATTGAGCCTCCGATTTCTGCTCAGGTCATGACCTCACAGTTTGTGAGTTTGACCCCGTGTCGGGCTCTGTGCGGACAGCTCAGAGCCTGGAGCCTGCTTTGAGTTCTGTGTCTCCCTCTCTCTCTCTGCCCCTCCCCACCCCTGCTCACACTCTGCTATCTCTCTCTCTCAAAAATAAATAAACATTAAATAATTTCTTTTTAATTAAAAAAATAAATGGAGTGTTTGTAAATAATTCTCCTCATACTCAAAATTGTGGCTATGCACTTCGTGATTTTTCCTTGCTATATGGAAATAACCAGGATAATTCTTCCTTAATTTGGTTTGAAAATTATGATAAAATTATGAATTTTTTGCTTTCATATTTATCAATGAAATGCAATATGAAAGATCATTACTTCCACATCCAAAGAGAACATTTAAATATAGGTTCTGTCACATAACATAATTAAAACTTCTGGTGCTTTAATAGGAAGAAAGCCATAAGAAAGCCATATATATATATAGCATGTGTTCTTTTAATTTTAAGTTGACTTGTCTTTCAACAAATTTCCAATTTATTCTAAAAAATTCCTTTATTTTTTATACATGGTTAAAATAGGAAATAAAAGAAATGTAAGTAGTTAATAAAAGTTCATTTGAACTTTTAATTGGCATTGGCAAATATAAAATGAAAGTTAGTTATCTGACATTTTATTAAGAAGTAACTCTTTGACTAATGTGAGACTTCATTTTTTTATCTGTCTTGCCTTGGACCTTAGAATGTAATCTCACTGTGCTACAATGCTTTTAATATTTGTATACCCCTTTTATCATTGGCAATTCAAAAGCATATTTGTCTAAAAAGGAAACAATTAAATTCCAGTCTTTCTAGGAAAAAAAAAAGAAAAAAAAACCTCCATTGCTAAACCTGCTTTAATGGCTCCTATGATCTGCACCATATATCCTT